TCTGAAGACGTTTGTTGAGTCTAACCCAATGCAAACACACACTCGTGAAATGACCCTGAACTTGCATGTCTCTCATGAAACAATACATAAACATCTGAGGAATATGGGAAAACCCCATAAAGAAGGTGTTTGGGTGCCTCACGAACTCTCCGATGATCATCGTTTCCAACGTGTGAACGTTGCTTCGTCTCTTCTGGCGTGTAATGCGCGTGAACCATTTTTGGACAGAATTGTCACCGGTAATTAAAAATGGATTCTCTATGCGAATATTAAACGCCAAAAACAATGGCTCAGTTCTAGACAAAAACCACTTCCAACCCCAAAACCTGGACTCCATCCGCAATAAGTGATGCTTTGCATTTGGTGGAACATCAAACGAGTAATCCATTTCGAACTTCTCAATCCACAGCGAACCTTCAATGTAGCTATCTACAGTCAGCAACTGGAACGTTTAAATCAAGTCCTTCATCAGAAACGCCCTTCACTCGTCAATTGGAAAGATGTCTTCTCATCGACAATGCACGTCCACTGTAGCACGTTTGATGCAACACAAGATTGTGGAGCTGGGTTGGAAAGTTCTTTCCCACCCACCATATTCTCCAGATATGGCACCATCAGATTACCATCTTTTTCGTTCGTTGCCACACCATCTTAATGGGAAAACATATGCAAATGTGGAAGATGTTAAAGAGGACATCGAAATGTTTTTGCTTCAAAGCCAAGTGATTTCTTTAATCAGGGCATTAACAACCTGATTATAAACAAACTCTGATGAACTGTTAAACTAATTTGTTTTAGTTTATTTAAAATTCTGTTATAGTATTTTTCTCTCTCCCTCAGGTATAACGTTGACAGAAATTGCTTTAGTAAGGCTGAATTTTGTTTGTTTTAACACAAAGTTACACAATGAGCTATATGCACTGTGTCTATCCCAAAATTTAGCAATATAACTTCTCAAAAATCTTCTTGAGCCATTGATGGACATTTAGTAAGGAGAGAAAATAATTCAAGATAAATGTCAAAACGGTCAAAGGTATTGTGTCTAGAACAACCCTAAAGTTTTCATGAACATGACATATTAGGTATAAAAAGAGACTTTGGAACAAAACAAACTGAATAATCAATATTTAGTAGGTTCTCTTTTATTCAAAACAACATCACCATATAGATTGGACATTATGGTACCAGTGTTTCAGAATGGTATTTTTGTTTATTTTGTGTTTTGATTTTCCAAAGTAACCGTAGATCAATTTGTTTCTTTTTTGCAACAGTACTTTTCAAATAGCGTCGGTACGTCATACTGAACGTTTTATAACTTTTGTATATCCAGCTTTTTCCTTCTTATTCTCCTCCAAATACCTCTTATTCAGCAAAGAAGATGTTTTAGATTATTATCCTGTTGAAATTCAAAACCAGGGTCAATTAAATGTCCTTCACTGGATATTGCACAATGAAACACGATGTTGTACTATTACTCATTCTACATAATGCCATCAGTTTTTTAAATGTCATCCATTGCTGCAACAGAAAACAAAACAAAGGAAAACAACATTCCCATAGTGCTATGGATCCAGTACTCCGTTTCATTATTTTTCTATACGCTATTCCTTAAACTTCTCACAATAATGTCACCGCGTTTAAATTTTTCTAGAGTTTTAAGGATGCGCTCTTTTTTGTTTAGTCAAACTATAACACATTGTTTCCTTCATTTTTCCAGCAGTTGAGACCCTGTACAGAGTTTAAGCGCGTGGCCTTATTTACACATAAAGGTTTAGCCTTCTTGTCCATGTAAATAAACAATCATCTTCGAGAAGTTCTGATTCTCGCTTCATGTATATCACTTCTGCATTTATTTCTGGAAATATTTTGAAAATATTTGTTGCTGAAATTTTCAAAATGACGTTATCCTCTATATCCTCCCATCTGGGGACTGGCATGGCCTGGTGGTTAGGGCGCTCGACTCGCAATGTGAGTGTCGCGGGTTCGAATTCCAGTCACCGAACATGCTCGCCCTTTCAGCCTTTGGGGCCTTCTAACGTGACGGTCAATCCCACTGTTTATTTATAAAAGAGTAGCCCAAGAGTGGACGGCGGGTGGTTTTGATTAAATTAGGAACGGCTAGCGTACATAGCCCTCGAGAAACTTTGCGCGAAATTCAAAAGAAACCAAACTTCCAATCTGGTTATACTTCTTGGTCATACTTTCCTTGTATTAATCCTCACACTTCCAGGTGCGGCAAAATTCTCTAGTGCTCTTTAGAGCAAACCCTTCGAAACACTAAACTTAAGTGAAGTATGCCGTTGATTTTTTATTATATAAATCAGTTAGTTTTGCTCCTTCTCAATGTTTAAGTATATAAGTTAGTTTTGTCATTTTTCTTAGTTTTAGCCATGTTGAAACTTGCTAAGTTTTTGATAACGCTGGCTGTAGAAATCATTCACTGCAGTTAACTGAATGGAAGTATGAGTGCTGGTTATTTCAAACAGGTATGAAAAATAGAGGTATCGTTACATATATATACATATGTACGGGTCATTCCAACCCAATCTAATGTTGATAAAGTCCAGTAGTAGTAATTGTAATTGTAAAACATTATAAGCCCAGCTGTATTGTGCATATTTTAAGCACATATAATTTTCACTGTATTTTGATATATCGAATGATTACCGCTTTCTAATTTTTATCATTATTCGTGTAAACTTTTCGTATTTATGATTTTTAAATATAATATTTGATGTCTTCAATACACTCCTCCTTCTTTAGTATACCAAGATATTGTCCAACAGGTAAACCAGTTATGACCACAATAACAGGAGGTTCTGATTTTGCTGAACGAAGTGTAACCCAAATCTAAAATAAAAAGAAAAGAGAGACAGAGAGAAGAACACCACCTTTACAATAAACAAAGAAAGATAGTTTCCTGAACAAGCATTTAATTACCCCCCCCCCCTTCTCTCTGGACACTGGTAAGCAACTTGCATTAGGTGTTCTAAATTCTCCGAAAACTGGCATAAGAGAGAGGGAGCTATTGCTGCACTTCGAATATATTTAAATTCTAAGCCTTGCGAATTTCCAAGAACACCTTACTATAACTCTAATTTGACCCATAGATAATAACAGCATTCTTACCCAGTTATACGGCTGTCCAGCGCTTACCATTTGCAAGACCAATTTCACTGGGTGACCACTTAGGATAGCCAGGTTTAAAGATTAATATATTTCATCGCAGCCTTTCAATCAGGATTAAGCAGTCTCTAGAATCATAGTTAAAGTGTTTGTTTGTTTGTTTTTTGAATTTCGCGCAAAGCTACACGAGGGCTATCTGCGCTAGCCGTCCCTAATTTAGCAGTGTAAGACTAGAGGGAAGGCAGCTAGTCATCACCACCCACCGCC